TCTACACCTCTCCGTCTGGACTTTTAAGATTTAATAACACAATTTGTTCCACGTTTTGAAAGCCTTGTGTTAAAACTTGATTACGGGGTCCCATAGAAATGCAAAAATGGATAAAATAGTTTCCCAGAAACATTAGACAGCAGGAACCTTTCTTCAGTTCTTCAACTCCCTTCCGTTTGTGCTGCTGGCCAAGGTTTTTATCAGAGTTGCTGCTCACTTAGAGCAGCAGTAACTAACCGGCCTCATATGGAGTTGTGTTTATTTTTGCCATCGTTTCTGTATATTTGACTGGCCAAACAAGTTGGATGCTCACCCATCACTGACTCGATTGAAAAACGAGCTTACTTTGCTTGAGTTGACATTTTACTTTATCAAAATGGAGCAGCATACGAAGACAAACATCAGGTTTTAATTTAGCAGAATTAAATTCAACAGGTTTGGTGTGTCAGCAGTGGTCTGGTCAGCCACTATTTAAGTTCTCCTCATGTCTTGTTTGTTAGGTCAGTTTTGTGCTTGAGTTCTTTGTGTTACTACGTAAGTTGTAGTTTGTTATGTTGACCTCAGTTTTGGGCCCAATTCATCATTTTTGAACTATTTTTGGACTTTTTGTAATAAATTAAGAATATTTTTTTGGAATCCATTCAGCATCTTTCTGGCTACTCTGTGTAAAACCCTCACAAAACACAAGCCAAAAAAACACAAAAAATATTTAAAATATATATATATATTTTACACAGTGGCACATCCTTGCTTTTTTCCAGAATGATAGTACTGATGTTAATAATAATATTAGCAGAGAAGACTTCAAAGTGGGACAGATTTCACATTTCTTTCACACAGGAAAATTATTCAACAACTTCACTCATACTTACAATCATGCCTAACTTCTTTAATCTGAATGCAGATATCATGTCTCTAACTCTCATAAGCCTCCCTCATAAATGCACCTTTTGTTGTTAACAGTTCAGGATAATGTTTGCTGTTGTGTCATTTTACCAAATCACTCCTTTAAATTTAAATCGTCAGACATGAATCATAGAGTATTTGTAGAATATAGACGTGAAATGATGTCAAAAGTGTCGTATGTAATTTAAACTTCAAGTTGATGGGGAAAAGGTTTAATTACAGCAACAGATGTAGCAGAAGTCCCTCGTGAGGTTCAGTTTACGAAGGTTACTTCCTTCTATTTTACTGTAGCAACATATTTTTTACAAAAACTACATGATACATTTCTCTCTCTCGCGTTCTCTGATTACTGTCGACACTCTGAGTACAAAAGACGTAAGTAACTCAGTAAGAAAAAGCTTTGTGTTTTAACCCTCAAGAGTTCAGTGAACATGGAGTTCAATAAAATATGCAGGTCAGTGACTGTAAGTAGCACTGAAAGCAAAATCCAGCAAGTCGCAAAAAGAGCCTTTAACCCTAAAAACGGTTTCCAATTTTTTTAATGCCATTTTTTGCAATGTTAGATTTAATTTTAAGACTTTTAGTGTAAAATGTAAACCTAGTATAAGGATTTAAAAGCAGGGAGAGCTTTACTCATAATTATCTGTTTCCACAAACAGATACCACGGTACCAAGCCTCCAGCATGATGTTTTGGTGTCTCACAATGTTTGTAATTTTGCTTACTTTTCTTAATATTTATAAAGGTCAAATGGTTTGAAGGGAATGTTACTACTTTTTGCATATGATTCCTAAGAAGAAACCACTGAATGCAGCACAGTTAACATGAGAAGTGGGGCAAAGTCATTGTTTTGCAAGTCAAAAGAAGGTTGAGGTCTTTTCACCTTTTGATTGAAACGCGCTCTCTGCGTGGTTGGAGAGCGCAAATCTTTTCAAGTCAAAAGGTTCAAGTCATGTCTTGTATTTTATTTTATTTTTTTATTTTTTTGTGAATTTGTCAAGGTGTGTCTAAAAGTTATTGAATTTACGACTTCAAACTTCGACTCAAGTTCACACCTCTGACCAACCTTATCCGTAGGATTTCTCACCTCTTCCAGAACTAAAGTGATCAGAAGGAACCTATAGATGCCTGTGTGTGAGCTCCGTTTTACAGCTGTGCCACCTCTGTAGGGTGTTATGGACATATCCCACGGAGTTTAAATATTGACTGGCTTATATGTGTGTCTGATTTACGGATGGATTGGACAGCATTTCGTTTAATCTCTGTAAAGATATGTTTGTGCATGTTTCATTCATCTCAGAGTGTGTTTTTGCATCTCATTAGAGTAAAGTGGTCTCTCGTCACCTTGATCCTCTGAAGCGTGCCGCCAGCCTGGCATCCAACCAGATCTATTACTCTTCTCGCATTTATCATTTTGCACCACACTTGATGGAATCTGATGCCGTCCTAAAGCCTACATAATGAACACTTCACTTGCAAAAAAAAATGCAGTCGTATAAATCATTCGCAGCATGTCTCTAAGGTCTGTCTCTCTCTTGTCCCTCTCCGTCTCTGTGTCTCTGCTTAATGTCTTTTCAGGGGAAGAGAAATAAACCGGGGATGGAGGCTGCCAGCTCTCCAGATTCCGTGAGAGGTCGAGGAGAAAATAAAGCCATCAAGTAGGTGTCAGAGAGGGAGTAGATGTGGACGCATGGAAATGACCCATGATGTGGTGATAGTTTCAGATTTTCACAGCCAATTTCTGATTGCAGAGCTAATGTATAGTAATAGTGTATATGTAATGTGATTGCTCCCTGCATGGTGCTGAAAGGCGCCATGAGATGACACTGTTTAAGTAGGAATACATTTTCAAGGACGATCAATTAAAAAAAAAAATCTTAAGGTACAAAGTGTAGAGAAATGAGTTTTTTCAAGTTGTCTGCAGAACAGTGGTCAGTGGGGTCATGGAAAACATTTTCTAAATAAAACTACGGCTGAATTCTCCTGTAACAATATGACTTTTGAATAAACTTCCCCTGTTGTTGCTGCAGAGCTCATGCATCTTTAACAGATCTTTTAAATTGAGTGTCGCCTCTAGCATGTGGAGATCTCTCTGAGTGGTCAATTCAACTTAGCACAAAATAGAATGAAATATTTTGGGGGTTTTTTTTGTTCTATAACATTTCTTGGCAGTGAAGTTTATACCACTGGAAAGCCAGTTTATTTCCCCTTCAAATAGTGCCACATCTGGAAGGGAAATGCATTCGTGGGTTGAGCTGCACAGAAAAATTTGCCAAGTGCTCTCCATCAATGCCAAACAGCTTTTAGTGAAATAAGTGGGATGGCATGGGGAAACAATTCCCAAACTGAAGAAAATAAAAGGCCTGTTGTCATTGAATTTGATCCTAATGCAGGAAGATACAGAGACAAGTTACCAAAAAAAAAAAGTGACAATCTCGTATCTCCCACTTCTTGGGACTGTAACATTCTTCAACATGTCAGTGCCCCAAAATGTGGGGGTAGAGAGGAAGAACGGCTTGTGGTCCAGTCGTGGGATCAGCTGTGGCGTTCTGCTCAAGCCAGAACGGCGAACATACACACATGCAACAAATGCTGGTTGAGAAAGAATCTATCCCACAGGAGCGTTAAACCAAGCTGGTGACAACCATGAGGAAGGACTGCCAGGTCTTTGTTGTACGAATCTCTAACACATTGATGAGGGGCCTCTGTGATAAGTCGCTAATCTGTTAAATAGTCAATATGTCTTTTTTTTTTCCTTCAAATTCCTAACATCCAGTCCAGTTAAAAACAACAAAAAAAGAGTCATAGAATAAGTTTTTTGCTAATGTTTGGGAGGTATTGGCAAGCCACAAACTCAAAAGCAGGAAAATGTATCTCCAAAGATATAACAGTTACACTCATCAACACTGTTAACACTAAGCAAACAGAAACAAAAGCATGAATATAGTGCATATTGAAAAATCATCCTTAGTTCCATTTACTGGAAACATCCAATATCCGAGAAGATAAATTGTGATTTTAAAAATTTTATATTTTCATAATATTAACGTTATTACAGTTGAGACTGCTGAAAAATGACAACGTCCTTTGTCTTTTTTTTTCCCTGAAATTTTAGACGTTCTCCTCATTTAAAGCAATAATACTCATCACTGATTCATGATCAAATGGCTTTTAATGCGATTTCTCATCATTTTCAGTCGTTTAATAGGGAGCTGTAAATTAGTAATACAGTAGCCATCCATTAATTGGGAGACTGTTGGCTCTGTGTGTCAAAATGTCCTGGAGCAAGACACACAGCCACACTTCATGCTGCAGAGGGACGGTTGCATTAAAACAAGAAAGTGGAGCTTATAAGCGGCTAATTTATAATAATAGGATCTTTATCTGCGAGTAGGTTAGGGTTGGTTTCAAAAGTACTGTAAAGTGATCTTTTAAAAAAATATATGAGTAATAAATATGGGTGTTAAGGTTCGTTGTATACAACAAATTAGATTAGTCCCACGGTTGTTGTTTTTTTTAGTTGATGTTTCAAAATTTTATAAGTTTGTTTCATAATAAGTGGGATTTTTATGAAGATATCTTGAATTCTAATGTTTAATGTCTTAGGTGTAATCATATTACAGATTTTTATATATATATATATATTTGAAAAAGCATCATATTATTATTTATAATTGATGATTGTTATAATTTCATTTTTACCATATGGTTTTATTCTGGCCTATATGTTTCTATTTCTGTTGTTCTATAACAGTCCTGCAATCCTCATCCTCGCTGCAGCCCGTACTGTCATTATATTTAACATCAAGTCCAGTTTTTATGTTATTATTATTACTTCATACTATTATTGTTTACTTTTCCCTGTTTATCACATCCTTTCTCTCCACTCTGGCGTTTTTTTTTTCTTTTTTTGTGTGTGTTTTGTTTTGTTTTTTTTAGACACTTCACTCATCTGTGGATGTTTTCTTTCCTTACAGCTGCCTGTCACAGTTTGACGTTGTCTGATGTCTAACCTTTTGCCGTCTCTCTCTGGCTGCAGCGATCTAGACAGAGACTTTTGGAATAACAATGACAGCAGCAACGTGCAGCAGAGGTGGAGCTCCTACCCGCCCAAGGAGTTCCTCCTAAATATGTCTCCCTATGCTCCCTACGGAGACCCTCGCCTCACTCCCAAGTGAGTCCCGGTCGTGGCTGGTAAGGGACCCCCTCAGTCTGGACAGGGCTGTCATCAACAGGGGCTGCAACAGTAAAGGAGTTATTTTATTCAAGTGTTTTGCCGCTCTTGCTTGACAAAATACCCAAATTTTCTTCAAATCTAATTCAAACGATGGTCAATTCATCATTCTGAACATTTAAAAGGTCACTGTAATATCCCGCAGAGGAGTAAAAAAAAGAAAAAAAACTAATTTTGTAACACTGCCTGGCCATTTGTCTTTTAACAGCAGTCTCCTCTCATCCCTGATAATCCTCATGTTCCTACATTTGGGCATGCAGTGGTGTTTAGTATGCACTGCTGGCCATGCAGCACCTGATCGAGATGTGCAGCTCCATCCTTTAATATTGCTGTGATTCTGAGGACTGCTCAAACACTGCCAGACATACAACCATTTGTTTAAAATGGCACTTGTATTAGAAGGTGGTGTTCTGATAGCACAAAAGTAGCCAACGCAATTCATTGATCCCATACATAAACCTAGAAATCCACAATAAAACTGAAATTATGAGGAAAATAAAATGCTAAATATGTTCTTCCTTTGACACCTAAAAAATGTCCAGTTCAATTCATTCAAGAATCACAGCTTCAGGCTTTGGCAGGGAAACATTTTCTATAAAATGCATATCCACTGACAATGGATTGTTACAGTAACGTCTTGGTTAGCTTCAGAAAAAGCAGACATACCCTGCAAATGAAAACGCTTGACAGTCCCATTGCTTACAGTCCTGTGAGCCTCACCAGACCTTCTCTGGCTTTCACCTGCAACCCATGGAGAGATATCATGGAGACAGATAACCCTCAGAGCAGATTTCACTGCACATTTTCCTCATATTTTATTCAACAGGTCAATTAATTACATCTCAAAACACCGTAGCTGCTCAATTATAATAATTATAAGCAATTAGATTCTCCGCTGAGGGCTGACTGTCTTTTTTTTTATTGTTTTGGGTCAGATTGAACAAAGAGCTTGACATTTGCAGAAGTGTACTTATTGGTTTTCTGGAGGAAAGTTAGATCTGAAAATTAATGCTTGTCTTCAACAAAATGTTTTTGATTAAATACGAAGCTACGGAAAACAAATTACAGGACTTTAGCATGAAGACTGGAAACAAATGAGCTCTTCTGAGCCTTCCAGGTGTTTAAATTATGGCAGCCCCAAGAACTAAACCCAGTAGTTTCTGGGAAATTACACCACCGATATAAAATTATTGTTATTCACTCGGAGCTCCTTCAACTGTTTTAAAAATTTGAAGCAGTGACTCTCAAAAGTGTACACACCGCTGTTGAAGTTCAGAGATCTTATGATATAAAAAGGTTCAATCAGTTCAACCTAAAAATACCAAACAAAACAAAACACACTGCATGATGCTGCCACATCTCTCTGTGATTACAATGTTTTTCGAGTAAACATAAATGGTATTTCTGTTGCTTTCCCCCCCCCCCCCAAACATACTTTTTTCAACTAAAATTTTTCAGTGGGATGTTATCAGACTGTAGCAAACTGTTCTATGAGGATTAGGGAGATTTTATACTTTCTGTCTTCCAAACCTACTTCTGAGTCCTGGCTTTGAGAATACAGGAGATTGGTGTCGTATGTAGAACAGAACCAGAACTTGTTGTAAAGTTCATAAAGCTTCTTGAGTGCTGACCTTTTAGCAGCTTTCCTGACCAGTTTCAGTCATTTAATATCAGTATTGTTTGATGTATTTTTTTCAATATTCTGTGTCCGGATTGACTGTGATATGAGATACAAATAACGCGTCCTGGGAGACACAAACTTTACTTCAGGTTTATTAGGTTTGAACTCGACTCTAAAGGCCGAATCAAAAAGTATTTCAGTAGAGTTAGTTTTCATGTGAACGCTTACATAATCCAGGTAACCAGCGCTTGTTTCTTTTTGCTAAACATTTTATTATTCGATTGAATTATGCAAGATAAATGTCAAACAATGTGGTACAAATTTTGAAACAATTAATCATATTATTTGCCATTTTAACCAGAGTGTGCACACTTTCGAGAACCTCTGCATACTTTCAATATTTTTAATCTAGCCAATTTGTGCAGATTTCAAGTGTTTTTGCTTGTTTTTGTTTTCAAACTGAATACAAAAACTAGTAATTGTAGGAAGTTTTGGCAGAAGGATTTTGTTCCCTCTGAACAGCTCTCCTGGTATGTTGCCAGTCTTCATGCCAAGTTATACCAAGCATCTGGCCAAAGTTCTACAGTCAATCTTATATTCTGGCTCCCCACCAGAAAACAAATGTGCACGTTTCTTGAAATCTGTTCTTTAAGCTGTTCTTTAATTTTGCTTTTCACAGTTTCTTTTTATTTCTCTGTGTTTGTACGTGTGAGGTCTTTATGTTTTCCCGTCTCACCTCTTCCTCCCCTTGCTCCGTGTTTTCTTCTTGTTGTAAGTACTCCCACTTTAGCTCGTAGTACTCTAAATGCTGCAAGGCTTCCCGATAGCCCTCCTGAGTCTAGTCTGAACTGAGCTCTGTTCCAAAAATAGTGCCTCCTTTGTAAACAGCAGAGCAATTAAGTGTTTGGATGGTTAAAACATCTGCTACGTATCAGCCTCCACTCCGTCATTTAGATGCATCTCACACGGTCGCCGAGGCATCAGGTGAACCCGCTCGTTCTTATCCTCTCTAATTACAACTCACTTGACTCTTTCAAAACCTCCAGGTGATCAATTACTCTGTCTGTGCACTGACGCCGAAAATATTGTAAACTCAGCGAGGAGTGGTGATTGCAGCCTTTGTTAGGACTGCGTTGCATTAGGCTATCAATGTGAGTGCTTAGTTTTGATTGGCATTTATTAAACTGGTGAGAATGTCATTTCTGAAGTGATCCATTATCCCACATGTTCAATTGCTGCAGCACGTTTATTTTTGTTTTTGCAGAACAAATATGCAATTTAGAGGTCAATTGGAAGGCAAGGAAAATTACTAGAGATCTTCTTCAAGGTAACTCCAAATGTACTAACCAAATGTGCCCCTCCACTAAGTAAAATACTTATTGTCTAAATGTTGTTAGAGGCACCCTCCTGTTGTGCAGCTGTTGTCGTGTGGTTTGTTTTTGCTCCAAAGGTCCCGTATTAAAGTCAGTGTTCAGTCTGTACTCGTCTCTGTGGCTCTCCGTCCAGGTCAGCAGGTGTGGATTTGTAGCATGCTGAGTAATATTTCTTCTTTTCTTACAGGGAGTCTTTGGTGGTAAACATTAGATTAAAGCGTTGCAGGTGTGTGAGATTGCAGACATTAGTGCCATGTGCTCTCATCACCTGCATCTGCAGCCTTAAAACCCCAGAATGATGCATCGGCATAATTACAAAGCCGTGCTGTCCACTTCAACCAGCCAGCAGGCCAATCATCGCCATAGCTTTGCGTGGTGAAATTGGCCCATTTCTCTTTATTTATGAGTAAATCCCAGAGAACTGTGGAGCTTGGAAAATCAAAAGTTTCCCCATACATCCCCACGGAAGGGTCTCTGCGGAAAAATTCACTAAAACTTATTTTCTGTTGGTAATCTTTTACAGAAAATAAAATACCAACTACTTTTTGTAATGCTTCTAGTTTTTAAAAGTATCATGATGGTAAAAAAGTAAGTACACCTGCTTTCAGTTTTAATTTTCTACATTTGTAACACCAAAATCATCTTAAAGTCAAGTAAATGCAACCACTCAAAATCAATTGCTATTGGTTATTTTACAAGAACTAAGTAAAGCGTTAAGGGGATATTGCTTGCCTATTCTTGGTTTGGATAGTTTTGGGTGTTTTTCATAATGAATGAATTTATTTGAAAACTACCGTTTATTTTTACACAGACTATCTTTGTCTGATATTAAAAATCGTGTGACGATCTGAAAATTTTAGAAAGATCATCACATGAAGTAAAAATGGCAGAAATCTTTTTTATTGTCTCAGCATAGATATTTATAAAATTACTGCTTCTGCCCTTACATCTGAGAAGGATTATAAGAAAAAAATTGAGTTAAAATACGGTCACAGATAAAGGATATTTGCAAATTCGCAACCTTAGAGTGACCAGATACTGTCCAAGGTTTAGATCACATATTGTCCAGAAAGCTATTAAAAGTTTTAAGTTATATCCAGTATTCTACAAATCTCAATTACCATAGTCAATATTTATGGTACAGTTTGTGCAAAAAAAAAAAAAAAAAAAAAACTCCATGGTTTTATAGTTTTGAAAAACTACAGGAAGAAAGTACAGGAAGTCATTTCTAACATTTTGCAACTAAGTAACAGTTTTGTGTTCCTTTAGACACCTGACACCAAAGTGGATCCATTAACTAGTTTTTGCACTGGATGAAGACTGTAGCAATCATTTTAGGCTACACACTTCATACCAATTTCCAAGCTGATAGCAAAACACAAGTTATTTTCTGCTTGCTTTGTAGCAAGGCGACTGGAATGCCATCCGTCGACTATGAACACCTCAGTTTCCTAGAGTAATTCAGAGTAAAATGCGAAGCCATCTGTCTAACAGCTCATGCTTGGCCACAAAACTGGGTCACACTTCAGCATTATGATTCCAGAAACAGCAGCAAGACTACAGCTGCTACAGGAGATGAAGATCATCGACATGTCAAAATGAATAAAGCAAACCAATGATAAACATGTGGACCAAAACTTTTCTGACTATGACTGACTATGAGATAAAAAAAAGAAAAAAAAAAAAAAAAGATGATTGCTTCAGGTGATTGCTGCTAAATGATCCTGAGGTTTGTTTTAGGTTTTTAGGTTCCATTTTTGTACTTTGGGTTCGTTTTGGTTAGGTGGAACATGTTTTGAGTCGTCTGTGGTTGTGTTTGCCTGATTTTACGATCCGGGAAGAAGCTGATGATTTTTATAAAGTCCTGCTACATAAGACATTGACACTGGAAGAAGATTTACCTACCTTTTTTTACCAAAACTAAAAGATACAATTTGAATCACATGAAATTTACCCTTACCATTTCGACTAACTTAACTGAAAACTCTTTTACTCTCCGGCCTTGTACGTTTGTGCGTCTGTCTCTCGTCAATCCTCTCTTGATCCTTTCTTCTCGTCCAACCGTGTCTGTTTGTCCGTGGTCCCGCATCGTATCTTCCAGTGGGGCCGTGGATAAGGGTGGGCAGGGCGGAGCTGGACCCTCACCAGGGGCCAGTGACGGCGGGGGTGGCGCTTGCTCCAGTACAGGAGCAGGGCCAAGTCGCAGCGACAGCATTCGGAGCATGGTGACGGGGGGCAGCAAGGCCGGGCGCTGGCAGACCGTCCAGAGCCACATGCATGCCGGAGCCCTGCGGTTTAGCAAGTGAGTGGCGCATGGTGACACGGGGTACGCATGAGGGGCTACAGTGGGCACAACAGGAGCATGGTTTGGATATCACTCACAGACGTGAGTTTGCAGAAGTAGCATGAGTGGAACACCTGCATGTGCTCTCAAAGACTGAGGTAAAGCTACGTTTACACGAGAAGTCGGCTTGCTTAAAAGCTGACTGATCTCCAGATTGAAACAAAGAGCATCAAGGTTGTCAAATAAAATAAATACTACTTGCAGGTTTGAGAAACTGAATGTCTGTTCATTTGTGGTCACCTGAGCTCTGACTGTGTTTATCAAACCAAAGTGAGAATTTGCATTTTAACTACGACGAGAGGTCATGATGCAACACTTCATTCATGTTTCAATAGGCTTTGGTAAAGTTGATAAAACAATTCTTTGTATTCTCTAGAAGCATACCCTACAAACACTGTATATACACTGATATGTTTGTTTTAGCTTGTATCTACATGCCTTTGCTTTATGCACATTATCATCTGTGTCAGTTTTGGGCCTTTACTGTGGTGAGAGCCTGAGCTGACATTGCCTCATACATGGTGGTGCTATTGCAGCTAGAATTAGCACCAGAAACCACAGCAGCAATCTTTTAAATAAAAACAGTGTACTTATAATCAATGCTTTATGCAAGTTATATTTGGAAAAGCCTATTTCTGACATCCCAAGGGATGAGAGATTTCAACGTCTAATTTTAATTGACCCTGAAAACCAAGTTTCAAAATCGGTTGTTGACTTTTTATGCACAATGTTTCTATCTTTTTAGTCACATTTACACTTTATTTAGACACATTGCAATGTTTTCTTCTTTGTACCATCACAACCAAATCCTTCCTGGGAAGTAATATGTGATATGTAATCACGGTGCTGTTTTAATAAATATTTTTTACTCATGCAACATTTTTAGAATGTACTCCAGTTTGCACATGATGTTTACGAGTTGGTTGTCCCATTTAAAAAAGATAATTATTTCCACAGGAATTTAAATCTATATACAAATTTCTATACAAACATTTCTATACAAATATTAGTATACATATAATTTAGTTTAATTATTCACTGAACATAAATTATCGTATTTATTAGTCACATTTTGAAGTTACCAATAAGCAACATATGTGGATGACTATTACATTTGTAATTATAAGTTGTTCAGACTTTGATTGCTTTAGTTTTTTTTTTTTTATTATTATTATTTAAGAAAGGTTTCCCCATTTCGCAATGCATGGATTTGCATTACTTCCTATAATTTCTCTGTTTCGTTGTTTAGTTTGCACATAAGGCTTGATTGTTTGATTGAGGATGCTGCAGCAGCTTCTTGGTTCTATTGAAAAGGATGATCATGTCCACAAGAAATACCATTTTGCTAAAACAATGCGCCCACATGAAGTAATTATGGTTACTTTAATTGTTTTCTTTTTCTTTTCTTTCTACATTTCTTTAACAAACACAATATTAAAAGTGTTAAAAGTTTCCAGTGGGACTTTTAAAAGCAGGTGAAGCCTTCCATACACTTTTTTATGGCCAGTAAGTGAAAGCACAAAAACATATATGCATGTCCTCTTCTGGATGGGAGTGAAAATCCTTTCTGATTGCATGGACCGGACTGCTATGCCTGCACATACTGTGACAGTGTGGTATGAATACCGTCACACATTTGCTGCATGAAAGGCTCGATAATCAGTCTTTATGAAAATATCCTGCTCTGTAAAGCAGAGCAAAATAAAGTGTATGACAAACAGGTGCAGCAGAGTTCACTGCAGAAGCTCCACATGTAAACCTCTCTTGCAGTTGTTATTATGCAGCTCTTCATTATAATACTCTGTCTCCTCCTTGGTTGAATAGAGAGATTAGAAACTGACTTTAGAATTATTATTTCCCCCTTTACTGGACTGAAGACACTCCACACATAATGATTAAATCATTTGTAGCTGCATAACTCATCTGTTCAACAATCGAGACACACAGATGTAAAGAGAAAAACAAGCCTCACACGAACATCACTCACCAATTATGCGGTTAGCTTTCTCATTCTGTGACAGAAAGCAATTGTTTCTGAATTTCTGGGAGTTGCATGTCTTCGCTCAACTCTTTTTCATAGATAATAACAAAGCTCTCAACTTGTTTAAGTGAACTTAATTTATTTTGTATCTTGTTTTAACGTTGTGTGTGTACATTTTTAACGAGCTGTAAGGTGACATGTCTGCATCTTAACTTGAATTTCATAAATGAAGTTGTGACATGCCTTTTCCCTCATCACTCGACTTTGTGTTCTGTTCTCCTTTTTTGGTTTCTCTGTATTTCCATTTCTCCTCTTGGAATTGGTATCTATTTCTGGGCATTTCCCTCTCCTCTCTCTGCCTCTCCTGCACTCTCTTCACTCTTCACTGTCAGGATTTTTTTTTTTTCTTGCAGTTTCCTTGTTTTTTCACCCTCCTCAATTTCCCATAATTACAAAATCATTCAAGGTTTATAGTCCTCTTAATTGACTTTCAAGCAAGAAGAAATTTGAAAATAACCCTCTAAGTCACTAATGGGATTCAGCAGATCAAAAGTGCTCATTGCTTAGGGCTTCTGAATAAGTGTTGCCACATATATTATTCAAAAGACGACAAAAACGTACGGCGTCTCAACAGATGAATAGACACAGGAAATCCCTATAAGGAAAGGAGTATCTTGTTTTATTCCCAATACATTTTCCAAATGAGAAAAATTCTGTGTCAGATTTGTGTCACTGGACAGACCGGCGCAATTTATCAGCCCAGAGACTGGCTCCCAGATGTCTGGCTTAATGTCACCATCAATCCAGAGAGATTTATTAAATTTTCATTATGTCACTTAAGATAACATGACTTTTGCACCTACAAGTATTTCAAAATGTACAACTTGTTGGTTGATCTTTTTATTTATCGTTCATTTTGATCGTAGCGTTTCTTTGTTTTGGTTTGCAGACTTAAATACAGATGTACCGTAATTATCTTTTTTCCAATCGTTGCGGTATTTTTAACTTTTGCGTTTCTCACATTTGAACACAGCGGCACTGAATAAGATTGAAGAAAACCACTTATTATTTGGTAAAGCATGTCATTTATAAGAAATTGTTCTTAAATTATTCTAAATATTGCATATTCGCAATTAAGTTGAGCAAACAAATCTTTATTTTTATCAATTAGACTGGGTTTTACTTTTTTTATACTTTATGCCTTTTCTTGCATTACTTCTGTTAGAGAGGGGTTTTTATTGTAGATTAACAACTTTTACTGACTATGCTTTTACTGATAATTAAATTGTAATACAATGTGACCACTTTCTATTTCATTTACAGTTGAAACCAGAAGTTTACATACAATAAAAAGACACATAAACATATTTTTTCTTGCTGTCTGAAGTTGAATCAAATTAAATTTCTCTTGTTTTAAGTCAGTTAAAACAAGAGTTAGAATCACCAAAATTATTTCTATTTGCTAAATTGCACAATATTGAGAGAACGAATATGTAAGATTTATTTATTAATGTTTTCAAAATCATCACAAGTTTTTATACAGGATGATTTAAAGGAAAAAACTCATACGATGATGTCATGGCTTTGGAAACTTCTGATAGGTTAGCTGAGACATTTAAAATTTTGTTCTGTTATTCATTTTCTGTTTCCTGTAGCCAAATTTCATACAAGCAAAGGAATGAGCCAAATATGATATAGAAATACGTTAGTTCTCAGAATTGAAACTTCGTTTTGAATTAAATACTTTCTCCAGATGATCTGGGTTTTGTAAATATCTCCCCTAACTTCAGGAGATTTGGAAAAGTAAAACAGAGTCTCAACCTCAGATTAGGAAACCTTTGTTCCATCATCACTGGCCACTCTGAGCTTCTGCCAAGAGGGGCCCAGCTGTGTGGTCCAACATCATAATGTGGTGTCACCTCTACTGAGGGCATCATTTGGATCTCAGCAGATGCAGTTCTGACTCCATCGTCTTCCTGATGCTACCAACAACAAGGAACATTGACACAAAGCTCCATAGTTACAACATTTTTATAATCTCAAAAGCGCAGTATCTGAAATAGAAGATTATTTTGTTTAATCTACTGTCAACAGTACTTGTCAGACTATATACTCTGTTTATATCTGTGCGTGCAAAAAAAAGTAAGATCAGTGTTTTTTTTAATAGATATTTCTGAACGGTACATGTGTCATAAGAGTCCGTGACTGTTTGGTGCTTTCAGACTGAAAACACTGAGGTCTAATTTATCCATTACATTCTTCAGCTTGTGTGTGGCTCCCGATAACTTTGCCATCTGCACCGGTTTGAACACTTACAGTCAATCACTGGAAATTCCTGCAACACCCTCAGCGGTTAAATAACTCTCTGTTTCAAACCACATAAAAAAAGCAAAACAAGACCAGTTTTTGCTTTTCTTTTGGGGTTAAGAAATGCTATTTTATTTTATTTTCTCATATTGTATTATGTGCCAATGTAATTTGCCATTTAATCAGTTTGCACTTCAATTCTATACACTCTGTTGCCATTTTTCTCCCAGTTTTCTTCCATTTTTGTATTTGTAAACAGACTATTTTATGCTCAGGTTATGGACCTCCTACCTGTGTCACTTTTCTTGTTTGTTTAGTAGTTTGATGCATTTATAAATGAACCATAAACAAAGCAGCATTCTGACATGAATTCATTGAATTTTATGTCAAGACTTTAGATTACACCCCATTTCCATCAGCTGTGGTTCCAGTCTCATTTGAGCTACTTGATGCCAATAATTCATAGCTACTTGTGACCCTTGATCAAACCAAAATAACTGTAAAATATGAGCAGATTTTCAAAGATCACTGTAAATATTAGCTCTCTACAAATAGTCTCAAGCCTGGTCTGATGGTAGAAGGCTGCTCAGTAGATATGAAATGTTCACAGAGGTGATTAGTTTACAGATGTTTATGTCAATTGTGCTGAAGGATGATATGCAAAAATGTAAGGAGTAGTTAGATGCACATCATAAAACTTCAAAATAATTAAAAAAATGATGTTATTAGCAATATTATTTAATTCAAGCTGAATTAAATAAATACATAATACATGTGGATACATTCATCCACATGTATTAGGTTTTACTATTGGTGACAAATAAATATATACCAATAAAAAAAGCAAAGGAAAATCCCTCAGGTGAATCATACAAATGTGTGTGTTTGCGTCCTTGTTTACATAAGAGCTCCTGCATTTACTAGATGCAGCTTTGCTTAGCACCTCTGGGTGCTTTTCCTCTGCCGCTCCGTCGGGGTTAAGGCCGAGTTAATACCGAAGAGCTCCGCTAACGCAGCTCATGTCCAGGTCGTAAATCCTCCCTCAGAGCTTTAGCTCCAAACTGAGCTGTTTAGCACAGGCTTACAGTTATCAGGCATGGCTGTGATTGAGGGGTGTATAAGAAGAGGAGCAGCACTACACGAGTGTAAGAGAAGGAGACCAATGATTAGAGAACAGAATTAAGGAGCAGTGATTGAAGGCAGCGGGGAGATGGAGTGATGAGAGGGCCGAGGATGGGGAAAAGATGAATGGACAGGGGAGAGATGAAGAACTGCTGAGTTTCGGAGCGCAAAAGTAAAAAGGGAGGAGTGGGAGGAGTGTAAAAGGACCTTAGAGAAAGACGGATGGAAGCAAAAGTCATCAAGTCAAGAAGGTAGAAGTAGGTCAAAGCTAATTAGACAGAGCGATAACGTCCAGGCACAGTTTAGTGCTGCAGATGGAAGCTCCGGCTAAGTGATAGTGATACTTCAGTTTAACTCGGGTTCAATTTCGCAGGGGGTTTGTTTTGACACAATTTTAATGGAAAGAAAATTGAATGTTTACATTACATGCTTTTCCACACACACACACACACACACACATGCATTTTATGCAGCCTAAACTCAAACGTTGAAGCATTCGTCTTTAGTCTTCAGTCTAGGCACCACACATAACAGCAATTTTTCTGTTCTTTTTCTATGTTTTTGCCCTTTTTCCCTTACTAACTTTTTTTTTTTCATATCAGCAATCACATGCTTCCATTTGTTGAGCTTTCTTTTTGCACCTTTCAATCCATGCTGTGTCTAATTCTAAGCTCTGCCCTCTTGTGTCCATCTGCTTCCTTCCCGCTCCCACCTCTCCGCTCAGTTTCGGGGACGCTTCCCTCTCGTCTGCCTCCACTCTGGAGCACATCCCGTCGTCGGCTGTCGCGCGTCCCCGGCCTCTTGTCCGCCAGCAGAGCCTCCAACAGCCCCTCACTCACCAGCCCCCTCCGGGTCCCAATGACCCCCCGGTCACCTCACAGAGCCTGGGTCAGTTGCACACAGGGCCAGGCGGCGGGGGCCACCGTGGGGGCCCGCGGGGGGTCCGGGGGAGTCCGGCTGGAGCTTCCAGGTACAGAGGGACCGGGGCTGGCCGATCACGGTCAAATCCAGGGAGCTGGGACCACATGATGGAGCAGATTCGCCACAGAGGTCTGGACGTCAAGTCGTTCCTGTAAGTGTCATGAAGTTCTCTACTGATTTAAAAGTTTGTTGATCTGTTTGCTTATAACCTGGGTAAAGAGAGAACTAGCAGTACTAAAGTTGCGAAGTCCTTCAAATAGAGTTGATTGAGTCGGTTCAGTTTGGTCATTGAAACCTGGTAATACCAAATTATTGTTTGTAACGTCTTTAATGTATTTATGATGTTTAACTAACCAAACAGTTAAGTAGAACGTGGCACATTGCTTTCTGGATGTGAGGAATTAATGTAAGTGTTTCTTCTTAATTTAAAGGATAAGTGTAAGAAATTAAGCTTTGCCAAGCAAGTGGGTGCTAATTTATAAAAACATAAAACAAGACAAGATAAACTAAACCTATCATACGTCTTTTAATCATGTACTGTCATTCTCACTTCATACATCTTACTAATACATTAATTAATTATATTATTTAGTGCAGCGTTAGAGAATGTGTGTGACTCTATGTAGGCAGATACGATGCAATTTAAGTAGACTCAGTAATTTCAAGCATATCAGTGACAATAACAAGTTTGCTGTCAGTGTTGGAAATGCTGAGATGGATTTTGTGTTGGTGTTTTAAGTTTTACATTAGGCTTGTATTTCCCTGAGTTGTTGTTTGCTTAAAGATTGCACTATTTGTTTTTTTTTTATTTATAAATAATAGTAAATCTTTTTCTGCGCAGCACTCTGCAGCTAGTCCCTGCACACACATCTCACAGCCGGCTGCACACAGAACACAAAGGATGGCTTCTTTATAGAAAAATAGCTTGTGCCTCATGCTCCAGTTTACTGTGGTTGAAAAAAACGTTTTATTATTATTTATTTTTTTTTTTGCTTAACTGTTTTATTGGTATATTTACGAGTAAGAAAATAAGGTCTGTTCTTCTAGGCTTACGTTTTGTAAACATACTAATGACGAGCTCAGAAACTAACACAAAAATCCTGATATAATGAACTTGGCAAAGAACTGACATTGACATCAGTTCAATCATACAATTGCATGTAATGTCAGATCCAGGAGATAAACGACTATGCAGCATCTTAGATTTAACTTACAACACAATGTTACTTGGCAAATTTCAAAGCAGCCAATCCAAAGATCAGTGGTAAGAATTCCTCCTCTGCCTCTGCTCCCCAGTTAAAATATATTTTTACTCAAACCACCAATCTGACATCAAACGTAAAATACTAAAGACTCACTGTACGGAAAACCATTAATCAGATGTTTTAATCTAACAATGCAATATCTGGTGAACAGGATAGATACTGGAATACAGAGGCCCCTGATTTTTATTTTTTATTTTTTTTTTACTTACAGAGCCCAGAGTGATCTCCTCCACTGCTTGACTTGAATGATAAATTACACATGATGTGCTGTACCTCACCGGCCTCCCCTCCTGACCATAAACACACACTCTTGCACGCATCAATAACCAAACCTCTTCCCTTCTGAGCTTTTTGCTGCTTTTCTTATTAACATTGTCTCCGGGCTGAAAAACCATATTGAGGTTTCATTGCTCGCAATCTCTGTCTTTATGAATGTCAGTGGAGCAAATACATTAGCTTTTGGCACCTGTGGTGATTGGGGATATTATGCATTTGTCAACTTATGGTATGGGCAGCAAAAAAAAATAGCAGCTTTCTTCCATTTGTGTCTTGTGTCACCGCCGCGCTTTTATTCCAGATCGATAGACCTGCTGTAGGTGGTAATGATTTAAGCGTCCTTTGGTTCGGGTGCACGCTTCTTGTTCTGTCATCTATACAAATTCAGTCAGCCCATCAATGAGCATCATGAGGGTTGTGTTTATGCGTTCCCAGTGGGCTACTGCCTCTTGAGTACTAATATGTTCCCTCTTGCTGTCAATACTTCTTCTACAAACAGCATTGAATTAAGGACAGGAGTGCTCTACAGAAGGCGCATGGCAGCGAGAAAAGAAAGAAATGTGATGTTTGCCGAGATGAGAGAAAGATCAGTGGGAAAATGAGGAGAAAACATCAAAAGACGACCAATAAACTTTCATTTTGTGGAAGCTTTTGATCCACCTTACTTTTTAGATACTTCTAAGCTTTAGGCACACTTTCATGTCTCTGTTGGTGTTTGTCTAATCAGCGAAGGGTTTATGTACTATTTGGGAGTTTTGTTTCCTGTCTTAAATTAATTATTGCTTCAACCAGTAGCACTGATCCTCAAGCTCTTCAGTGATCTAAGAGTTCAGCATCAAACCCTATACCACTTATTGTGGCTAGGAAAAGTAAGATGGCAAGTATTACATTATAAGAAAAATACATTAGGCATAAACGTTTAATTAAGCTGATAACATGGTTCTATTTGATTCTGTTTGTTTTTTGTATTAGTTACAACAACATTCAATTTCCTTCTGGGATTAATAAAATAAAGTAACTCTATGAAGTCGTAGGGAGTATATAACTTTAGGAAGAGTATCTTTCCTAGCGGTCAATTCGGAAGGATTTCTGCGCCTGGACTCCCCTCCCAGTCTCACGCTCTTTGCCACTTTGGAGAGGACGTCTTTCTTCATTGGCAAAGGATGGGACTACTTCTTTCAAGAAACCCTGGGTCCAAAGTAGTAATTTCAGAGTACTTTTCATGTGCCAAGCGTCTGTATTCCCAAGAAATAAGCCTTGGCCCTTGGCTTGTTTGAAATTCTGCAAAATCTTTGAATTATAGACTCCCCAACAGAGACATTGTCCGTCTTTCCATCACTGAACTGATGCTGCTGCCGTTCTTCTGAGGGAGAAGAAGAACCGCAGCTTCACCGATGCTACCTGCATGTGCCAGCCAAGTCAACATTTGCCCCAGGACTGGAGAGCATCACCTGGAGTTAAAAGGAGAAGAACCTCAGCCCCGCATATGCAGCCCGGCAAAGCGGCTGCTGTGTCTTCTTTCCCTTTTTTTATTTATACCAGAGGCAACTGGCACTATTTTTCCCCTTTGCTGCCTCCCCCGTTCCAAGAGAAAGAATGAATTTCAGCTCCAGACGCTTGTTCTACCACAAACTGAGCAGCAACTGCCTTTGTATCCCCAGCCGACGCTGCAAAAACCCCTGTGCCGTTAGGTTTCCGTCATTCACTGGAGATTCCTTGCTTCATTAAGGATGACTAATGCAAGAGGTGTGCCAGGGCAGAGATAAGTTAGCTTAGGAGAAACAATTTGAATATTGGTTTTGATTTTCTGTTGTGTTTTATTGTGTTTTCCAGGATTTAATCCTGCAAACTGCTTGGGAACAAACAGGCCACCTATAGTATAAACAATGTTTTATAAGGTTATTGGCTGAAAGTTATTCTCATCATACAATGTGAGTTTACTGCATTTTACCAGACGGAGCTTTTCTTTCCTCTCTCCGACAACGTGACGATTCTTTCTTTCTGCATGAGGAAAGCTTATAGTGGTGATGTTAAATGTGGTTCTTTCACCTTATTGGCTGAAATAAAAAATAAAAAAACAAAGTGTGTGAATAGCCGATAAACACCAGTATGTTAATCGGGTGTGAGTTCCTCTCCTCTTCGAAACGGCTCAGATTTACACTGTAAACAAGCTGAATTCAAATACAAAGTTTACCTTTTTAAAACTTCTGAAACTGCTATTTAAAGCATGGAGTTGTTTCTTCAAATAGTATATTAAAAATAGTCACTATCGCCTCTTAAATTGGTGTTTTTAATCCGTTTTCTCAGCTTCTTTTCCGGTGAAATGTTCCTGGATTTCTCCTGGTGCGTCACCTGTGTCAGAACTCTTAACAACAGATTCTGGTGCTGCTAATCAGTAAAAACCGGTACTGACGAAGTTATAGTCATGCTTTTAAAAGTTTGCATTGCATTCGCACAAGCCAAGCAAGCGGTGTTGCCTTTATACTTGACACATATGTTGGTAATAACCCCTTAAAAAGGGATTATTTAAATGCCTACATTTGCTCTCAATGTCCAGATTTTCAAAGCTCTCTCATTCTGTATCATTATCCGAATCATTACTCTAAGACATGCCAATATCCCATTTAGATGCTCTAAGCGTAACAACATAAATTGTCATTTTCTGTATCTATTAAAGTTTTATTTGCCTTGTTTAAGGTGGTCAGACAACACAGTGACTTTGTCACTGTGTTGTATTGTTGTTCATGTTATTATATCATTGTTTATTCTTTGCTAGTTTTTACTTTTCAGTATTTTATATTAGTTTTGATATTCTTTCATTTCTTTACATATTAGTTTAATTGAGTGTTACTACCTAAGTAAGTTAACTGAGTATTTTAACTGAAATACTTAATTGATTTTGGTATTAAACTCACATATTGAAGAAATGTTGTTTGTGTTTATTCCATATTTGCATGTGCAGTGCTGCGCAAGACCACCAGTGTTGGACATATTCTTTTATCTTTTATTATTTTAATATTTAAACCTCATCGGGCAGGCATTCATGAACAATAACTTTGACTGAAAGCGATTTGTATATTATTTCATAATAATCAAGTGGTGGCGTGACTTGGTATTTTAGATCTAAATGAATTTTCTTAATTATTGCCTTTGACATTTTGTAATAGTTTCTCATAGTCAAACTAAACCCATTCTTGCACAGAAGGGGAAATAAAGTTTTATCATCTCCTGTTACCTAAAATGAAACTAGAAATAACTATATTGTTCACGCTCTAATTTCAGCATTAAGGGATCAAACAACTAAGGACTTAGTATGTGATAAATAAACTGGCACACTAACATTCGGTCCTTCCAGAACAAGCTGCTCATCCTATTGTCACAGAATGCTGAGTGATCATAGGCTCCACGGCTCGACTCGATATATAAAATGTGAGAATAAGACTTTTGTTGTGATTACTATGTTCTGTGGGTTTTCATAGCTCATTCCTACAGAGCTGAGAAACATCAAGCAACATCTTGATCTTTTTAACTCGGTCTAAGCATATTTGCAAACATTAGAAATGGGAAAACCAAACTCGGAAATTTAAAGTTGTGACTAAGTCTTTGCTTAAAAGATCCCATTGGGGATGGAAATTCATATTTCCTAATCATGAAATTTTGTCTGCCAGAGTCTACAAAGACCATCCTCATAGGTTATTGATTTTGATTTATTGACTGTTGATTTATTAACCTACTTTAGTTGTAAAATACATCTGAAGAAAACCTGATGCTTTTTTTAAAACTTGCTTTGCATAAGTAATGAAACAGCAAAACCTCACGCTTTCCAGATGTTACCGATTGCATGCAGATTTTTACAAGATGCATTGCAAAGGAATGGTTGCAGTTTTTGCTAAGATGAAACACTGTAGTGTCCTCACATCGTTCTACCGCCTCTCTCCCACTCTCTTTGTACACCAAATGAATGTGTGCTGGGTGTGTTTCCCATCACTGCCTGTCTGTGTGTTTTGTCCGGAATATGTGTGTGTCGCCGTTTGTCCACATATTCCACCTGTGTGTGGACTTGTGATCCCTTGTTTGTCTCTGTATGTGTGTGTCCAGTGAGGGGAAGATGGTTGTTCTGTCTCTAGCAATCGGGCTGGCTGAACAGGATGACTTTGCCAACCTCCCAGATCTCCAGGAAGCTCCGGCAAGCAAAGAAAATGAAACCACACCAGATAAAAGGTAATTACAGATGGAGGCGCATGAATGTGAGCACATGTGAAGTGGACGGGAGTGTCATTAAACGCCTCACACTGTGTTAAATCCTCAGTAGTTCAGCTTTCTACGTTGCTCAAAATGGGACCTCTTGGTGGGTTTTTTGAGTCCTTATAGTTTGAGATTGGACTTCAGTGGATCAGGCCTGATGCTGTGCAGTTAAAATGTCCCAAGAAAAGTTGAAGTTGAATCCTGCAGATTGAAGACTGAATGTTGAAGTTTTGTGTGTTTCTTGAGTTATTTCTGCAGTGTGGCATGCTGCTCAGTCTTGTGGGACACTGGTGCATTTTACGGCATTCAGACCATGAGAGATATGCTTATGGTAAATGCAAAGTAATTGTCATTTGGCTTAAGGTTTCAGCATTTAAAGCTTTTTTATGTTATCTGTTTAAATCTTGCGGCTGATTGATTTGTTTTGTGTTGATGCCTGTTTTGTACCGCATGTATTCAGAGATTTGTTTGGCTGTTAGCCCCTCGCTGATTAGGAAAATTAAAGTTTCACACAAAAAAAAAAAAGTACCTTAAACTCTCTAATAATACCTTAGCCTTATGTTTCCACTGCAAATATCATCCCAGCTACTGTGTCCCCAAGAGTTTGGTTTAAAAAGGCCACAGTTGAATTTGCAATACTTGATTGCAAAAATCTTTGATTACAGTATTTTACCTTCAATTTTTTACTTCTGCTGATACAGATGGACAGCAGTTCCATGTGATTTTTTACAGCTGTTCTGCAACTCAGCAAAGGAGTGGCAGAAGCTCTAGGGATAGTGGGAATGCTGGACCTCTGTGAAATATGTATGTGGAAATCCCTTATATATATTGAAAGTCGTCAAAAATATCCATAAAAACAATTAAATCTTTATTGTTATATTATCTCTTCTAGGAAAAGACATGCTGTATGACTGTCTTTTCTCTCATCTGTTAAAAAAAAAGTGCTTGCTTTCTCAACTTCAGCACATTTGTTGGTGTACTTTGCATTTCTGGGACTTCAGCAGACAGTTCTAAGTTCGAAGATCTCATAAAACTTACTTTGTTTTGTGAGGTTTCTGTTTTACCATGGCCTCATAGAGATTTCTTTTATTTTAATTATTCTGTGAATAGTTGATGCTGTTTGAAAGTGTGATATAATTTGAAGCTTTTCAGGCTTTTTGTCATTGATGAAATTCCAAACGCACAAGTAGTGTAGTAAGCACTTTAATTAAAAATCTCCCTAAACTCGACTAACTCCCAGAAACAGGTAAACTTGACCATGTCATTCTCGAGCGTTAACTTATAACATTACATTTTCTGGATTTCTCTCCCTGGAATATGCTAGCTCTCTGTCATTTTGCCCTAAAAGCTTTGGGCTTTTCAAAATTTCCCACTGATTTTATGCCCAACTTGAAGCTTTCTCTCATTTTATAATTACATAACAGCACAATCTCCCACCAGTTGTTTCCTTTATTTGTTGCTGTTGTTGCATTTTCATTCCCATATGCTCTGTGGTCCCCACCCAGAACTTTGAAAGTCTGCTTGACTGCAGCTCTTTGCTGCTCCTTTGATGTTTGAATCACAGACACAGGAGCAGGGCACCCTCATTATTTAGAAGTAAGATTCCCTGCATGAAACGCTCGTCTAAAAATATGCTAAGTTCTCTCATCTACCAGTGATCTCGCAGCGGCAGTCGCAGACTAACGCAGTCTCCCAGCTGGCGAACAAAGGACTGCACAGGCTTCTCTCTTATCGCATCAGTGTTTGAGGGATAAAGTGCTTACCACACTGCCTTGACTCCGCTGGGCTCAGGACAGCAGGGCACAGTTCAGGATAAGCATCTATGCATTCCAGCGTAGGTGTTTTTATGTGGTGTTATTGTTTTTTCCCATTAAAAATCTCAGCCGCGCAAAGTTTTATCAAAACCTTCCTTCGGTACATCAAACCATGTTGCTTTAACTAGGTTATCTGTGAACGTTTGGTGGGAAAAGACTAGAAGCTTGCCTTGGAAAGGAATGTAATATAATTGTTTTTTTGTTTTTTTTTGCAAAATGATTTGAAAACAGTGTTGTAAACAAATGATGACCACCACCGTCTTGCCTGTGGGGTTTTCATGTGCCTCATTCTGATCACGGCCCAGCCGCCTCGCCTCCACCCAGAGGGCTCATGTGGTCCAGGTTGTCCACTGTTCTTCCACATCTAATAACAGCTCTCTATCATCATCATCATCATCTTTGTCTGTCCTTCTCCTCCCTTTTGTCTCTGTAGTTACTTCTCGAGCTGCGTCTCTGTCTGCTGGTCTGCTCCTGGCTGTTGTCAGAAAGCCTTCAGCACGACTGAGCAAGACGCAACGGGATGATCCCGGCAAGATTATGTGTGACAAAACAAGAAGCTGTCAGACAGCTGCACAGACAGAGGATGAGGGAAAATCATTTGCTTCTAGTTCTCTAGACGAATTATGCTTCAAGACAAAAATAGGCTCAAACTGGAGGTTCGAGGCAAAACCTTTTGCCACATACATCTTTCAGCTGGAAAACCTAAAAACAAAAACAGATAGTGGACAAATAAAATGACTTGGTTTAAATATAAGTAAGAAAAAACAAGCTGGATATGGACATGCTGCATGATGAAAGCTAAATTTAGATCTATTATAATTTGTAAACTTCTTGCTTCTTTGCAAGCTCTCTGCAAAAAAAAAAAAAAAAAAAAAAAAAAAATTTCACCATAACAACTGTGTCTAGGTCTTTTTTTCTCCAGCTGGAAACTGTGTCGATGAAAACTGTGAGCCTGAAACAAAACGGTAAATGTGTGGGCTGCTCTGAGTTATAAGAGGTTAAAATCTCTGTGGATCTCAGATGAGCCACAGAATCGGTAATAAGTTTAGGAAGTTCATTATGAGTGATCCCTTTCACAGTGTGCTGACTCATTTCATCCCCTGTTAACATGAACATATTAGTGTAACTTCATTGTCGTCTCAACCTTACAGCTGCAAAGCTAATTAGAGGTATGAAACAAATTGCTGAATATTTCCCCTTCCTAAATAAGCTTACTCTGCTTATTTACACTGTTATGTGTCTTATGCACTTATGCAAACAGACTGGATGACTGTGCCTATAATGGGAAATTGTGCAAATTTTCATACTTTTTTGGAACCTTGATTACCAGTGACAAACCGGTATTTCTTAAAATGTAATCTCTACATTTAACAGAGATTCCAATACGCTTTGAGGTGATGGTGCCTCACTTAGTTTAATGCTGCTAATATATGTTTAACGTTTGTCAGGAATGCATTTATACAGTACATTATCACTTTGTATTACTTTTTCTTAATTACACTTCATTTATCGAAGGTTCTGCTTAACAACGCACCTAATCTACTGTATTCAATAAGAGTAAAATCTTATGTAGCTTATGTACTTTTTAACATGCTGCTTAAATACATAAGAACCTTGGTTTGGTTCCTGTTTTGTTTTCCCGTTCTTCTTTCTGAGTTTCACTCCCTGAGTTACTTTAAAAAAAAAAAAAAAAAAAAAAAAACTCTTTTAAAAACTCACTTGTAGTGAGATTTGTTTTCTGTTGAGCTTTCCGAGTGTCAAAATAAATACACAGGTCGTAAAAATCCATGAAGTCAGCATTGACTTTTATCTGCAGGAAGAGTTGTGTTGACATAGGTTTTCAGTGCGAAGCCTTGTGGACAGATCCAAATGGAAATAACAGCACAACCTCAGAAGTCAAAAGAGAAATTGGCTCTTGTCAACAGGTTGTGCCGTTTTGAAAAATATTCAAAAGACTCATTGCATTGAGTGTTTTTTACCAAAACCATGGCTAATTGTCTCATTACAATGTTTAAAATAGAAAGATATTGTTGAGGAGTTTCTCTAATTGCATTGCTTTATTGACAGATCTTAAGCAGTTGTCAGGCTCAGATATATATATATATATATATATATATATATATATATATA